CGCTTATCCCCGCTGTGGATGATCTCATTCCCGACGAGGACGCGGATGATACGGGTCTGAGGATAGAACGGGGCGATGTTTATGGCGACCCATTGGCGGGCAAAGGCGAGCTGGGTGAGGGCCGGGATGTCGCCGTTCACGGCGGTGACGGTCACGGCGATCCCGGTGTTGGCGAAGGCGCGCAGGATGTCCGGGTTGGTGTCGAAGATCTTGACCCGGTCGATGATCGTCTGGGTCCTGATGAAGTTGGCCACCTGGGCGGGGGGCGGGAGGTTGTCGCCGAGGGTGCCGTAGTTGACGCCGATGGCAGTGGCGGCGGCAAGGAGGTGGAGGAGGGTGGCGGTTAGGAGGAGGAGGTGGTGGTGGGTGGCCATGATTGGATGCGTTTTGGGGTTGGGGTTGCCGAAGAGAGGAGAGATGGGATTGCGGTGTACATATAGAGTGCCAAAGGACGGTGGGGAGACATTGGTGGTTGGTCAAAGTGGGTCAAAGCGGCTAATTATTGGTTGGTGGGATTTTGTTTTCCTTTTTCTTCTCGTTTTGAAAGTGTCGGACGGTACTCAAATTTGATTGGTCGAACATGAAATTAGATACTCGAGGGTGCGTTTGGTTTGACTTCGAAGGAATATCTCGGGGAAAATGTAAAGTTATTTTGGCCAATGCGATTTTCCAAAATGCGAGTAGTGTTTGGTAAAATATATTTTAAAAACATATCGAAAAGCAATTTTGATATACATGCTATTTGGTAAAAACTACACGCATGTCACTGGCGAGCTAAATTAGACGCCGACCAGCCTCGCCTGAGGTCGCCAAAGGGTCGCGCTACCCAAGGCGATGGTCGCCTTGGGTCTGGTGACCTCAAGTGAGGCTGGCGTCTCGTCTTCAAGGGAAATAAATCATAGAACTCCAAATTCAACTTGACCAAAAAATTACTCACCTAAATGTACGAGGAATTCAATGATATTATGTTTCTAGTGCCGCTTCCTCCGATCATTATTACCATTTGTACACTTCTCATAATCAAGTCTAATTAGGAACATATCTGGTAGAAATTATATATAACTCGCATGTACATATGACATTAATTATACGGTTGGATTATATTCTATATCGACATGTAAGCATGCCATTCATGCCCCCTCATTTTGTTTTTTTGCCATATTTGGAGGGCAATCAATTTTGGCCTTATCGAGGGAATTAATAATTTCCCTGCAATAATTATTTTTGGAAAATAATTTACCAATAATGGGAATTACGGTAACAATTATGAACATGTTCATTTGTGCTCCTCGGACCACTAGAATAGCCATATTAAGTCCATGGCACAAGTATAACTCAGCAAGAAATACGTGTGAACTCTATCGATGGAACGGCTATATAGGAAGCAACTTGCCGATCGCATATAAGGCCCGACTAAATTGTACATATAATAATTGCTTTGAAAGAAATTAATTACTGAAACTCATTTTAGAGACTTTAGATATATAAAAGGAAAAGAATCCATAGGATACTGACTCCACTTGTTAATAAATCAAACCATAAAATATGTTTATCAATCTAACTAAACTTCAACGACTTCTATTTGAATAGAAAGGTATGCACAACAAAACACAATAATAATAAAATAAAATAAAAACATGTTGACCCATCATATCATAGGCTTTATTTTATACGACGCTAAATGCCATTGATCCAATTTTTCTTCACTTGTGTTATGAAAATGCGTTATTTGCAATTCATAATGATAATTTGTTTTGAAATTTACTCTACCACTAATCAATAATACCATCTCAAAGAGTTTTGAGCCACACCTCACAATATGCACATTTGGTATGTAATTTGGTTCACGACTGGGGAGGGTGGGCTCACATAATTATCCACGCATTACCGAGCTAAGGACGTCAAGAATGGAAATGGCATTAATGGTAAGGAAATAACTCTTAAACTCTAGCCATTAGTAATTTAAGAGTCTCAAAGGTCAAATTTTTAATCTTTCTTTCACCTACATCTTGCTCATCTTCTTTCACATAGATCTTCCTCGTCCAAAAGAAATACAATCATCCTAATCTCTCCGGCAAGGAGCAGATCGTGCCGGCGGCGACAACTCTGGTCCATTTCCAACCAAGGTACTTATTCAATCTATGGACTGTACCATTTTAATTGCTGTTGGTTTTTTTTTTTTTTCATTTTCCTTTGAAAAAGTGAGAAATATTTGAAGGATGGCTCAAATGTGCATGACCGCACCTCTAAAAGCTTCGAAATTCACTATGATCGTCTTCAGCTTGGTCTTTGTATGTCACTACAACATGCCTCTCTCTATAGATCACTCATTGCAAGTTTGTTTGATCGACAGATTTAACCTTTGTACATGGGTGCACAGGTTTTTGTGTGGTAGGCTAGCGGTTGTTCTTTTTCATGGAGTAAATCTGCGAATTCTGTTTAAAATTTCATAAATAACAGTAAAAATTTGATCTTTTGGCGGTTCACGCAGTGTACTTCGAGCTCGAGGTAATAAAACAGAGACGTCGCATTTGCTCGCAAGTCTTCCAGACAAGAAAAATGTTAGTGGTCTTTGAACTCCCGGTGAAGCTTTAATCTTTCGAATTTTCTGTCCAATTCTGTTGTTTTACTTCTATGAATTTTTGGCCCTAATAGTTTGCAGTGTAGATCTAGGTTTCATGCTATTAATCTACATTTTTCGCTTCTGGCTCAACTACTTTATCGTGGCTATGTTTACTTAATAAAGATTTTGAAGTAGTGGGCTAATGATACGCAGTCTAGTTATCTGATATATATATATATGCTGAAATGGAACATTTTAATTGTCTTGTGACACTTAAAAATACCATAATGTCGTTGCGTTGCATGACACACCCACACCGTCTCTGAGTAATTCCATCCGTAGGGTTGTAATTAATGTTGTCGGTTTCATTTCAAACTTACTTAAAGTTTAACTTTCTGGGATTATCTCATAACTTGACTAGAGGGGTGGAAACGGCATTTCGAACCAAGTTGGAAATGTGTTAAGAAGATCATCTAGGATCGCGGACAATTACTTTCCTATATTTTTGGATTGGAAGAGGTGCCTAACACTTTTTCCGTTGCCAAACTAAATCTTACATTCCTGTTTAAAGCCCATGAGACTTTCTTCAGCTCCTTTATCTTCAGTTATATGTCCAGAAAGATAAGATCATGGCTTGAACACAATAATAAACAAGTACATATAGATCTTTCTCTGGCTTGTTTTCGTATCTTAAAGTACAAAAAATGCCAATTTTCTGCCTCCCTCTGATATAGTTCGCGCATCTAGCTGACTTGAACAGACACCGTATGGAAGCTCGTGATGAGAGCCAAGCCTGCTAGATATCTAACTTCTGAAAACTTCCCCTATTTCTGTTCCTCTCACAATGAGAATTGGTCGAATTGTTCCCTCAGATGTTTCTAATCCTCCTTCGTCTACCCTTGACATGAAAAAGGATGTTGCCAAACACTTGATCCTTATTAGAAGACTAACTTTTATGGGGAAATTTCTAAACTTCCAAACATGATATTTTGAAAGAGATCTAAATCGCATCAATGGATCCGTGTTTCCCACTCCATTTAGATGGAAAAGGTTCGGTCATTAACATCACCTACTACTGCCATATAAATCATAGAGTGGCCAAGTCCCTGATCTTAAAAGTTTGAGATTATAGAGAGAATACTTGTCTAAACTCAAATCCTCAAGCTCTAGCAGAGTTTCATCATGATTCAGATTTGTATACTAAAACTCCCTAAAATCATTTCGCAGTTGATAAATGCGGAACACGTAAGCCATAAATATCTTCTTCTTGAAAAGTCATGCACTTACCTCTTAATTTAGAGTGGATTCTAATGTATTCTGCTGGACTTGGCCAATACTCTACAACTCTCTTATGCTATTCTTTAAGGTAAGTCATGCTGAAATAGTGACTGGTATGAATCTGATATTGCATTTAGTTAATTTGTGTGACTTTTTGGCATTTCTCATCTTTGTACCTATGTTTTGTGTCTCGCATGTAAGCTGGATAAGATATTTAATGAGGATTTTATTAACGGTTTCGTCAGGATGCTTAACGTGTGTTGGAGAGGTAAGAACGTTTCTCCCCCTTTTTCATGTTAAATTTTTCTGTGCTCGCGTATAAGCTAGATAAGATATTTAATGAGGATCTGATTAATGGTTTCATCGAGATGCTTTGATAATTCAACCGAAGTGTGCCTCGTGTTTCAGAGAGCTTTAAGAATGAGAAGTTCTTCTGATATCTAATAGATAATAGTCATATCCGTACTCACATGGAAGCTCATTGATGCTGCGTTAAGTAAGAAACTGGTAGGTCTTCTTACATTCACATATCCTCCCGTATAATCTTGGCAATGGTTTAGAAAGAAGACGGAGGTTTTTCATGAAACTCTTCAACAGGGATTTCTTGAAGAAAAAATGAGCTTTCCGTTTTGACATTAAGCCCCGCAGTGCAATTAAAAAGAACAGAATGCTCCAAAGAAAATCAGTAAGCTGTCCTAGAGAAAACAAAGATATCGCTTGGACAATGTCTTTCCATTATGTCCTTAATCACCACAATGCATGTGTGTGTAAAGCTTGTAAATTGGCATGTCGTTATGCTATAGCTGGTGGATTTTGTGCTGTCGTGGTCTATATGAATATTAACTGTCATAAACTGTAAGTATCTTTGTTTATGTAGGCATTCCGCTTTAGTTATACTACTATAAGCGTTATTTTGTTCCGTCATATTGCTATAGTTGCCCTTACCCTTGAAGGAGGGCTTTATAACAGTGCCACAATTTACATCGTATGCATCACTTGATGTTTTCCATTATGCTAGGGAAAGTATACTTTTTTCCCTTGTAGTACTAACGTCTTTTACTTTTAGGATACTTAGATTCTATGTGTCAATTAGTCTTCTATCTCAACTCAATAAAATTATTCATTTATTTTCTAGACCTTTGGGCGTGAACTCTTTCCAATGACAAAGGACAACGGATGCAGCAAATATTCAGGACCGAGCTATTATATTCCCAGAACATATGATCCGAAGCGTGCCTATCCGTGGTTAACGAATGTAACTCATCTGGGAATGTCGAGCAACAAGAAACAAGCAATTGAAGCAGCCATCACCAGGCCAAATGTTTTTCTAAGGAGTGTTTATCCATTGGACAAAGCTAATGTGTCACTTGGTACCGATTCCAATTGTCCGTCTATTCCGGGGCAAGTTCAAGGCAGACTTGCTGCGAGGCCTTCGCCATTTCTGTACACGGCTAATGTGTCACCTGGTACCGATGGTATGAGCGCTGGAAGAAGGGATTTCAATGATTCATGTCAAGGTGATGCCCTAGCGAATTCTCACAATCCTGACGAAATCCTAAAGGCAAAAATCAATGACGTTCATGATTCAGAAAATGCCGTGCATACGCCGATAAGTAACTCTTTTAAAAAGGTCAGTGACGGAAGATTGTTGAGGACAACCAATGGTGAGGCGATAACACACAATCAGAACTCTGCCCAATTTTCGGGCACAACTGGTCAAGTGGGCACAGTTGAGGCAAATGCTCATCTTGCTTCAGAGAGCAATTCGAATCTGGGAGGTAACGCAAAAAAACAGAAAGCTTGCACAAGAGAGAAGCTAGCCGCGGCTAGTGAGCCTGGCCCTAACATATACCCGTTATCTAACCAGAGTCTGTTATCGACCGGAGTATTTGATGGGGCTCCAGTAAAGTACACTTCGTGGAGCGGTGATGTAAGTTCTTTCTCGTATGGTCATTTGCCCAGTCTCTTTAATGCTGTATTCTTCTTAATTTTTCTGGTTCTTAATTCGACACTTGATACATGGAGTTCTACAGATAATTCTTCATGGTGTCATAAAAGGGTCAAAGATTCTTTGCAGCTGCAACAAATGCAACAACTCTCAAGTAAGCAACTGACTGTACTTCGATTTATGTCTCTTTCTGTTCAACCGTAGGGTTGAAGAGGATAGTAAGAGTTGGGGATTTGTAAGGTAATTAACTTGTCTTCTATGTTGAACCGCGCAGTACATTAGCCCCTGCCAGTTTGAGCGCCATGCTGGAGGGAAGACCAAGAAGCCGTATTCTTGCATCTACTTGGAGAATGGCAAGAGCATCAACCAAGTTTGTCGGGAGCTAAGGACCACTCCCAAGGATATGCTTTTTCATCGGCTTCCGAAAATCGCTGGTTCCGCTTTTACTTGGCTGAGCTTTAACAATTACGAAGGTCAAGTCAATCCCGAATGCAAAAAAGCAAAATAATTTTATTTGGATGAAGTACTGCATAGATGCGAAAACTTTTGAGGGAAAACTTTGTTTCCTCACTGTGTTATATTAATATATGTGGATGTTTGTACTTAATTCGCTAGATTCAATTTGAAGTCCAAAACAACATAGAGAATTGCATGCCTAACCTCGTCTGCTCCAAAAAGGACAAAGGTGTTCGCCTATGCAAGCATCTTATGAATAAATTGTTTTCGACAAAGTTTCCCAAAGTTCTCCTGAGAAACTCTATCTCATCTTCACGGGAAAGAAATTGTAGCTCTCCAAATTCAATTTGACTAATTAAAAAACTACTCACATAACTGCACAAGAATTAAATGATTTAATGCTTTTAGTGCAACTTTCTGGTCATTATTACCATTTTGACCAATTCACATAATTTAACACTAATTATGAACATATCCCATAGAAATCAAATATAACTCACTATACATATGACATTAATTATAGAGTCGGATTATGTACTATATTTACGTCCACGAAAGGCTCGTAAGCATACCATGCATACCACCTCATTTTATTTTATTTTTGCCATATTTGAAGGGCAATCAAGTTTGGGCAAATCAAAGAAGCCAATAATTGCCCTGCAATAATTTTTTTTAAAAGTATTCGCCGATAATATAAATTTTAGAAACAATTATGAACATGTCCATTTGTGCTTCTCCGACCACTAGATGGCTATCGATGGATCGACTATAAAAAAAAGTAGCCGGCCCATCTCATATACAGGCTGAAAAAAATTCTATAAGATTTTTTTTAAAATAAATTTATTACTAAACCCCGTTCTAGAGATTTTGGATATTTAAAAGAAAAGGAAATCATAGGATCTTGACCCCACCTTTCAATTAATTAAATCATGAAATAGGTTTATTAATATAAATGATCTGTAATGAGTTCTATTAAAATCAGGGATATGCACAAGAAAACAAATAAAAAGAAACTAGATGATCCATCATATCATACGCTCTGTCTTATACGAAGCTAAATGTCGTTGATCCAATTATTCTTCCCTAGTATTGTGAAAATGCTGTGAATTCATAATCATGATGGTTATGAAATTTACTCTACCAGTAATCCAATAATACCATCTCAACATCCCACAAGGCATAGCACAAAAATATAGCATTCCAAAACACATCCAGACCTGCTTTGGGCTAAAGGCTATTGAAAATGCAAATTGCATTTCCTCATAGTTCTCCAAAAAAATTTGTCAAACGCTATTTGCATTTGCTCAAGGGACTTTGGGGTCCCAAAGCCCCTCGAGAATGGCTCTTATTAGCTGTAGAAGAAAACCAACAATTACAAGACTCGGAAACATGATGTGGCTAGGTTTATTAAAACATAAGAGTATAGTTACTCCGATGTATTACGAGAAATGCGAAGAAAACGGTGCTGTCACTTTTTGGAAAGTGACAATCTACTCTTGATTACAAAATCATTCCCAGGAAACAGGATGACTTGTTCATCAGGTTGCCATGAAGTTTTATTAAAGATTACGCTTAATTTTACCTAATCTTTTGCCTCGCTCTTTAGACTATGATACTTCATTTTCCATTGTGAAGTGTACTATCACTGTATATTTGAAGTCTGTCACATAGCTAGCAACATATTCGTATGACTTTTTAGCTCCTGAAAAGCTCATATACTAAATGCTAATGTGGGCATGATATAACCACTCAGTGTCAACTGTAGAGACTTATCTTATTTACTTTTCAAGCAATTTGGAATATTTTTTCATGGCGTGAAAACTCACATAAATCAATGTGTAATTCCCTATTTGCATAAATATCTTATTGGTCTTGTGGATCAGGTAAGACGCGGGTCAAAATTCGAACAGTGCAAATATGATTTTTCGTTTTAAGTTGATGGTGTAGAGAATTAAATGTGCCTGCACCCAATCTACTCTTTTAAATCAATTTTTACATCATGACCTTATTCTCATATAGTTACATGGAAACTCTCCCAGAAGATTATGGATCTTTGAGAAGAAAAAATTACATATCTACTCTCCTTGTTCACCTACTCCAACTTCTGCCTTTTTTTTCTCCCTCTTTCATGCATTTCTTCTTCTGCTTTTTTTGGTAGTCAATTAAAAACTGTATTTTGTTAAGTAGTTAGCAATCATCGACATGGTACAAAGCAGTAAGGAAATACAATTTGATTTTGACATGAAAATGGGATGTTTGTATTCGTGTTGATCCTTTGTGTGTAAAAAATAACGTGTAAATATATTTTTTGCATTTAGTTTAATTTTTTCCTCGTAGCGCAAAAATCGACAAAGTCTGTCCAGTAGTAGATGTAATTTTGTCCAAATCATGTTTGCTAATATGTTTATCTAGTGTCCTTCAAGTGATCTTGTATTTTCAAAGTTATCAAGTCGGACGATAATAATTCTTTTCCATGAAAAATAAGTAATCGAGGGTTTTGATGCGTAAGTTATAAATTTAAATATATGGTGTTTCTAATTTTTATAGGAGTGTAAAAGTAAAACAAAATGTTTATTTGGAAAAAAGAAACAGGACTATGTTTTCAAACAAGTGACACATTCTATCAAAGCACAAATTATTCCTGAACAACAAAGATAAAAATACGAATTATTTATTTATATTTATTTTTTCTTTTCTAGATACTTACTAAAAGAAATTCTACGATATAACTTAAAATTTTTTTAAAAAAAGTGATTAAAATCATTGTATATGCTATTTATTATTCTCATCGAGCCCTTGTCGAAAATCTTGTTGTTCAACACGAATCACATGATTGGTCTAGTGATAAATGGATTGTCCAATTTTCACGAGATCAGAACTTCGATTCACATCGTGAACGAATATTTGAATACTCGTTTTATGTTACCTAGCTGCGACATAACTCGTGTGAAGAGATTTCTTAATTGCCAATATCTTGGTGGAACAGCTGTGAAGAGTTTACTGATCTCGGACCTTTGGATCACGGGAATTGCGGAGTAGATATGGCACGAACCGAACCTTTCATGGCGGGTGTAAAACCCTTTTACGGTAATATGTCCAAAGGAGATTACTAGCACCAGTTACCCATCTCTGCCTTTTTATCTATCAAAGGAAAAATGACAAGGATGAGGTGCTGTTCAGAAGGGCCAACTTGATACTCTTCCCCAAGGATGTCATTATGCGCGAGTCGGTCTAAGTTTCGGGCCATTTCAGTCGGCTCATGTAGCATTGCTCCACTTAATGAAGGTTGAGTTAGCAAATGAACGGAAGGAATCTCATCTATTTCCTTGGCTGTGGTCCATGGGAATGGGGTACAGCAAGCAGAAGAGGGCATCAACACCATGACAGTATGTGATCGGAATGAACCCTTAAGATGTTGACATGGCCTAAGCCGATGTCGACAAATCGTCGTCGGAATTCATCGTTTCTTCGTATCGTCAAGATCTGGCATTGCATTAGCCCTGTCAATGGAAATCGCCACTGTAGGGATCAGTGAATGACACTTCGCTTCTATCCAACCGAAAAAAAATTGACAGTTCGCTTCTTAAAACAATTCCATGTGAACTGAAGATGGAGACAAGGAATTTTATGTGATACATCCGACCGACATTCAATCTTTTGGATCAGATGGTGTACGAACCGGGCGTGATTAGTGAATGTCATCGCGAATTCGAAACAGAAGAAATTCGATTGTACGCTCCTTCATTTCCACCCCAGTGAAGAAAACTTAGCGGCTATATTATACCATAAAGAGAATTAGCAGGTAAAGCTACTCGGCTAATCTTTTTTTCCGTAAATGGAAAAGAACAAAATGTCACAAACAGTACGTAAAAAACACGCGAGATTTTTGCCATGCCCACAAAATATAGAGGCAAGGGATAACAATAACGTAGGCAAAACAGACAAAAAAGAGAAGAGAAAAGGTGACATAACATCTGTGAGAACCTTGAACTCCACAGAGCACTGCTGATTCTCTCCCACGGTAAGAAAATTGCACTATGCTGCCGACTCACTTCAAAATGAAACAGTCTCTCTATATTATGGCGATGCCTATGACGCCCCACCATATTTGAATGAACCATCTTGACATTTTGGTCCACACTTATTCTACTATATGGGAAAAAAAATTAATGAAAAAGCCGCAATATATTCTCTCTCAAAGTGTAAAAAACCACCCAAGTCCCCGGTCAAGCCATTGTCCTGAACAGGGAGTGCCTCCACCGGTCAACCTTCATCCTCCGGTTCTTCTTACTGTCGCCATTTTTGGGCTTCAGCTGCCGGTCTGCCTCCATCTCAGACACTAGAGCAGACTGCAACCTCTTTAAATGTCCACTGCACTGCTTGTGCTCCAACAAGCTCCTGCCGATGCCGCTCTGCTTCTCGGCATCGAACTGTCTCTGGTAGGGCGAGTACCATTTCGCTTGTAAATATGCAAGAGATCTCCACGGAGGGAGTGGCATCGAGTTTTGTTTCAGCGAAAACTTACCAGCTTCAGCCATTACTTGGAGAAACTGACTGAGCCTGCTCAAAGAGCCCACATAGATCACGGGAAGTAACTTCAGTATTCTGTCGTATGACTCGACAGCTCTAGCAATCTCAAAGTGGCTCTGGAAGTCGATGTCTATGATCAACCGATCAGAGTTTCCAGAGCTGGTATTATTAACCACGTCAATGTATTCATGATCCCCTGCATCATATATCGTGTTACATAAGGAAATGCTGAAACAGTTGTACCAAATATAAAAAACAGTTGGCAACGCAAAGATAATGTACTGGCATATGCATTGATGAGCAGATAAAGATCAATCAACTACCTCCAGGGACCTTGCTGCCACCCTGCCATCTTGCTGAACAAACTGCCGCATCATATCCCGATTGTCTCAAAAGCTGAACCAGAGAAAATCTAATGCAGCTAGCAGTACACGGTCCTGACTTGACAAACTGAAGGTCTATCTCATTGATGGAGAGCACAAGAGAATGGACCACTGATTGCAAGTCACTCTCATACTGATCCAAGTTGCGCTTAGAGAACTGTGACAAAAAGGCATATTCGCATAATGTGAGAATCAACTCTAAAGCTTTTTTTTTACCTTACCAAAAAAAAAAAAACTCTAAAGCTTTTTGACTTTTTATGGTATAGGAAAACACCGGATAGCAAAAATAACAACAGATCAAACAGTAAGAAAGGAAAAATCCATCCTGCAAGTCAAACCAGTCTTACTCACGCCCCTTACTCTCAGATGGACTAAGATAATCTATTTTATATGCCCTCCCCAATCTCAGCTTAGCGAAATAGTTTTGTGTCTCACAATAAGAACTTTGATCCAAATGGAAAATTAGATCTTCTCATTCCCTAAGGACCAAAATTTTTCTTGATTATTCAAGGACATGATTAAGATGGTCTTCGATATGCACACAAGTTCCGGGCGAAGCTGACTCATATTTCAATGAATCAGTGTATGACCTACAGTGCTATTAACACGCTTTATTTCCAATTAAACCAATATGACACCACCTAAGAGTATCAGCTACTCCACCATGGTCAGCTCAAACTCCGATACAGCTGATTCCTTTTTCATCTATCCTACTCATTCCATCTGCAAAATTCATAATAACCCAACATCATACCACGCCAACTTTCTGGCAGTCAGATCCTCTTCCATCAATTGGTAGATTTGAATTATTCTGTCCAGGTCTGAATTGATCATCCTCATCCGCACTCTTTCCGTGCATGCTACCAATAGCATTTCATTTTGACTAGAGACACTCGAGGAGAAAGATACGACTTTAACGGGTAACTTAATATCACCTATCTCTGACAAATTGCTCACTCAATAATTTCATGACAGAAATTATTCATCTCCAAACTTCTATGAAAGGAGAAATTTTGTGTTTTTTGTATGGAATATTCAGTTTCCATGTCCACAATCTAATAAGTATCGAATAAAAAAGAACAGTCCGGTCATCTCTATTCATTTATTAACTTCCATAGTAATGACTTTTCATTTTTTAGTTGCCAAATCACTCCTTCGAATAAAAGGTATGTCTACCGAGCAAGCCACGCACCATCAGGCCATAAATTAAATATGCATTCCAGTAAATCAATTTAGGACAGCACCGGTAAAGGCAGTCTCACAAAAACATGTTAAAATAAGGTTGACAACTAATTTTTTAAATACCCACAGAAATAAAAACTCCCATTAATTAATCAACTGTGACTCAATACCCACAAAGCTGGACAGTAACATGACAGTTATTTAAGGTAGAGGTAAGCTTATAATCGCACTTCACAATCTGCAACAGAATTATTGATTATACTTCTCAGGGGAGTACCGGAGACAGATAGCAAAATCATCTAATTCAAGTTACCTAAGGGAAACTAGCAAAAATCCCATCCACGGAAATATGATATCATTGTCCAAGAGACCTAAGGTCCTTACAAGATCAAACAATTGTCTGCGGAAACAATTTATAATTCATCTCATGGGACCAAAACGAACTGCCGAATATTCAACACCATACAACCTCTGTATTCACTATATTCTAGCATCCCAGCATTTTCCACATCATCGATTGTAAGGACACCCAACAAAATGGCAAGTCCTAAAGGGCTCGAAAAGTATGATTGCCTCACTAGTTTTCCCCCAAGGACCATCCCAGACAAATAACACGGGGAATAAACTTTCACCAAATCAACTTCATTCCATAATAGAAAGATAGCAGTAGATACAACCACACCAAATTACCTACTTTCCATTAAGAGAAGCAGGGCTTAAATATTCTTCCCACGATCAACCTAACACCTAAAGTTGACCTGTAATTCCTCCAAATATTGAAAAATTCTACCAAATATAGGTGCATCAAAAAAACCACCAATTGGGTTCAGCTTTATCTATAGTCTCTGGACAAAATTACCCCGGCTTGACGCAGCAATTTTACGCACGAACTGATTTCACTTTCTGTCTTCCTCTTTCTGTTATTTTCCTTAATTGCTACAGAAGAAACTAAACCGCAGAAAACCCCTAGCCTTAACAAGCTGAAATTCCTTCCGAGCTTTCTATATCAACTTTAAAAAAAAATTGAAAACTTTACCCGTCGGCAGACATAAACACGATCGCGCGCGCATAAAGGCAAACCCAAACGCTCCAACGCGAAGGAGGCCGACGGACGATGAAGCAAGAACTTACCGCGATGCTCTCGGCGAGCTGGGCGAGATCGCAGAGCCCCGAGTCGCTGTCGCTGCTGCACCACGACTCGGCCCCGCCGCTCCCTCCGTTCTCCAGGAACTCGCCCACCATCACCGCCAGGTCGTGCTCGCTCTCGTGGCTAAAGCCTCCCCCGAGCTCCCCGATTCTCCTCGACAGGAGATTCTCCGTCATCGGCGCGCACACCGTGCAATCCATGACGTACGCGGACTCGCGAGGGCGATTCCAAAACCAAGCTCCGGTATCCCTCCGACACCCGACCCACCGTCAGAAACTCGCCGACGAACCCATACCGACGCTCCGAACGGATCCCGCAAAACCCTAAAGAACCCCAAATCGATTGAATTCGAACTCACGCCAACCCAGCCACGGCGGAGCCCAATTCGACCGCGGAGACCATCAAAACCGACCCCAAAAACCAAGAAATTCCACGCCGAAGGGCGAATTCTCGGTGGGGAAAAGCCCCGGGAAACCGATCGATTGGACGGGGAGCTCAATTCAGCTACGGGGAGCTCAATTCGAGAACCGGAGATCAAAAAAAAAAAAAGAGAGCGACCCAAGGAGAAAATTTCCGATTACAGATTCCGAAACTCGAATTCAGGAAAAACAACGCGAAACTTTCGACACCGACACCCGGCGATTCTCGAGTACCCTTTTCCCCCCGGGAATCCCACCTTCCGTCGATTTCGTCCCGAAAGAATTCGAATTCGAATTCGAATTCGATTTTGAGCTCGATCAAAAACAGAGAGAGAGAGAGAGAGATGGAGAGTCTCTGTCTTCTTCTTCTTCCTTTTATTATCTTTGAAGAAAGGCGGAAGCCAAAAGGCCCTCATATAAAAAAGTTTCGGGAGGGGGGGCGGAATGACGGTTGTGCCCCTCGAGATTAATCGGCTTGGGGCGAGCTTTCCGCGGGGGGTTAGGTTTGTTGCAAAGTTTTAACTCTCGGATAAAGGCGATTCGGCCTTCGAATTCGGACCGCATTTCCGGACAGGTTCGTTACGCGGGGGAAGGGGGTCCGGGTCGAGAATTCCTCGTCGCGGGCATATGCGAGAGGTGGTGCAGGGATTATTCCCGTCGGGAAAAATCTAGAAACCTTAGGAAGGATTTCTCGGCTCAAAATTCGCCCCTAACTGAATAACCCGCGATATGCGAAAAAGAAAGCACGATAAAAAAAAAATCAAAATCAAAATCAAAAATCAAAAATAAAAACAAATTGATGGAAAAAACCGATTTACCTAATAAAATTGTATCATGAGAATATATTCTACCATTACATGGGTGACATTCTAGAACGATATATATATATATATGGATGTATAATATATGTATATACATAACAAAAATAAATATTCTTTTTTTAGGGGCTTTCTTCCCTCTCTTTACTTTTTATATTCTCGAGAGAACTGATTCTAACAAAACATTTGTACAAGGACCGATATAAAAATGATCATATTCTAAAAAGTTCAATTGCAAATCAGTTTTTACGTGTTAGGATGAAGCAGCATAAATCAAAATGAGCACTCTTTTTACAAGGGATTTCTTCCCTCTGTACTCTTTTTTATGCCATCAACACCTAAAACTTATAAAACATCGGTACCGGGACAAACATTGAATTCGAATTCGAATTCGAATTCCCTCTTTACACTTTTTTTCAGTCTTTCGATTATGATACGACGCGTGGAAATGCAATTCCTAAAAAATCGAATTTGCCATGACGAGGAAAAAAAAAAGTATGAACGTATGCAACATGATATTTACGCGTGCGAGGATTTCATTTCCCCCATTAGCCTTCTCGCGAACGACGATGGTACGAGAGTGGGGCACGAGCGTAATTTCGCGGGACGATAGGCATTAAAGGAAACTTGGGGACCAAGTCAGGGAGGAGGATGAAGAGGAGCCAACTTAAATGGAACGGAAAGAGTTGCGAAAGTGACGTGCACTACACGGACGCTTCGTGTGACGTCACCCATTCATTTTCCCCATTATTTAAAAAAAAAAAATTTTGAGTTCGCGTTCCATTATTGAATTGAATGAATATATTAATAATAACAATAATCGGCTTTGGTTCCTTACCGCTAAAATAATTTGACTTCAATTTCGTTCGGGCACTTATCATCATTCATCCTCTCTCCTTTTGAATGAAAAAAAATTCAACCGTTCCATATTTATTTGGCCCCCCTTCTAAGGGCGCGCACGGAATCCATTCTGGAGTAGAAATTCTACTCCAGAATGCATTCCGGAACAAAAATGCGTTTGTTAAAAAATTTCCGGAATGCATTCTGGAGCAATTTTTACATTCTGGAATAAAAATACGTTTGTTAAAAATACTTGATTCCAGAATGCATTCTTGATTCCAGAATGCATTTTTTATTCCAGAATGAGTTTTAGGCAAGAAAAAAAGAAGCTACTTTTTGTAGCTTCTCTCTTCCAGAATGCATTCTCCCTATTTTCTCTCTTTTTCTCACTAATTTTTTTTAAGAAAATGCATAAAAATTGAAAAACTCCATAAAAATTCATAAAAATTTCCAGAAAATAAAAAAAAGTCAGATTTCGAGAAAATAGGAAATTTGGTGAATTTTTTTCAAAAATTTCAAAACTTCATAGAATGGCTTAGAATACCTTTGGGCACCCACTTTGAGTGAAATTTAATTTTTTTGAGGTGCCCAAAAAAATCAAAAAATCAAAATTTTCAAAACTTCACAAAATGGCTTAGAATACCTTTGTGCACCCACTTTGAGTGAAATTTATTTTTTTTGAGGTGCCCAAAAAAATCAAAAAATAAAGATAGATTTCTGTTCCAGAAATCAATTTCTGGAGCAGAATTAGTCATGTTTTACCAAACAGATTTCTCCTCCAAAAATCAATTTCTGGCAAGAATTTCGGTAATCAATTTCTAGCAAGAATTTGATTTCTGGAGCAAAATGGTTACCATTCGCGCCCTAATTAGTCAAGTCTACGTATTTTTTTTTAAATTTATCGGAATAAATCTTTATATTTCCATAATTTTTCTCGTCATGTTAATCCGGCATAGAATCCGACCAGATCTAGCTAGCGTGGTCATTGAACCACTCTTGACGTGGATAAATTTTTTTTTCCTTAGGTGGACATGCACAGATTGGCTGACATATTATCTTAATTGTGGTCCGGCATTGTTTGCATCGGCTGCCTTTTTTCCATGAGCGTCCACGCGGGACTCCGTATGTTTTATCCGCGTCGTATTTCGCATGGTTCGGCAATCACGTTGGGATGAGTATGGTCAGATTTGGTGTCAGAGGGACTCTAAATAGAAAATTTGTGAGAGTAGAAAGATTTGATCAGACAGATTAAAAGTATAAAACTTCGATTAGAATAGGCATGAGAGGAACCAAAAGTAGAATTTTTTCAAAAAGGAAATAGGATTTTGTTGTTTCACACCTAAATGAAAATGGTTAGTCATATTTAATGCACCGTCCTTCTCATGTTATGTGTAATCAACGTATTGAAAATGAAAATATTTTCTTATTCCGTTTGTTTCCCGAAAGACGAATAATTTGGAAAACCATTTCCAAAAGATAATCGCTCATGTTCGTTCATTTTTGTAATCGACAAATAATCAATTTTTAGTAAAACATTTAAAAGGTCAAAGAAAGGTGGCACTGTATCATCTTTTTATTATTTTTTTATGGACATAAAAAGTTTCCAAAAAAATTCAAATTGTTTAAAGGGTCAAAGAAAGGTGGCGCTGTATCATCTTTTTATTATTTTTTTATGGACACAAAAAGTTTGCAAAAGAGAAATTTCATAATTAGGCGATATTGACCCAAAGTTTAGCTTTCAACTTTTGACTGTTTACCTTTGCATCTTTTGACTCTTGACGTTGAAGACATTACTAGGTTCTGGGGACGCGGCATTTAGAGAAAGAACCGGTGAATGAAAGTTACAAGGAGAAAACACTTTCCTAAAAGTAATTGTTTACGAAAATAAATAAATAAATAAATAATTTTATCGTTCACGAAAATATTTATCAAGACAAGAGTCAATTTTTTTCTAGTTATATGTTACTAATCTCCTCGTAATCTTTAAAAACCCGAGACGGTCTTTCTCAATAAAATTGGAGGAAAAAGGAGATCACGTGTTGAAGTTGCACCAACCACGTGCATATTGACCTGGAAGTAACCGGTTGACGGGCTCGCGGAGCCTTCCATGAACCCTCTAGTTGGTTGGCTTCTGCATCGGTGCTTATGTTCAACTCAAAAAAACAGGAAGGAAGGAAGGAAGGAAGAAAGGAAATGGACGGTCTTGAACAAGGTTCCTTTCAACTGTTACAAATATATATATATATATATATATATAAGCATACTGAAAATTCTAAAACTTTTAAAAAGTATAATCAAGTCTTAAAATTTGTCACGAAAGCGCAATCGAGTCCTAAAACTTGTTAAATTAGTTCAATCAACTCGATTGCACTTTTCGCGACAAGTTTTAAAATTTCCGATTGGGAAAACGACACAAACGGTCCCTGAACTTTGGCTCAACGCGTAATACGGTCCCTGAAATTTTGATTTGTTCAATGCGGTCCTCGAACTTTAGCCTCATGTTCAATGTGGTCCATGAACTTTTAATCTGTTCAATGTCATCTCCGAATTTTTGGTACATGTTCAATTCAGTCCACGAATTGTATCTACATTGAATATTTTCATATAGTTTGGGAATTATATTAAACATGCATCAAAATTATAGGAATCAAGTTGATCAAAAAAGTGGTCGGACACGGTGGGGGAGGTCTCAGTCGATTGGACGGCGAGGACGCGCCTCACGCGGGGTGGGGGAGGGGTCGCGTGGGGCCCACTTCACAGCACCGCTTTTTGCTTTTTGCTTTTTACTTTTTTCATTTTTTCTGACTCGAACAGTGTGTGTCCTCCCATCCATCCTTTAGCCCCTCCCCCATCGTCACCACAATAAAGTGAAACGCGACAAATCCCACCCGATCAGAAGGAGAAACAAAAATTTTAAAAAATTAAAAAGTAGATTAAAATTAAAAAAATTTAGAAAAAAAAAAAACACGACAGCTCGCCAGGCGTTCCCCGAGGAAGACCCAACCGATCATGTTCGGCTCCCGGTTTCGTGTTCCTCGTTTTTGTCCATTTTTCCATTTTCCTCTCCCTTTTTCCACTGCTTAAGTAAACGGGGAGTCATTCCCCCCCACCCCAAAAAAAAAAAAAAGGGGGGGGGGTGGCGTGAAAAAAAAAAATAATGACATAAGTGGTTTCGAACTTTTAGCTCAATATACAACGGGATTTTTGATCTTTCAATTTACTCAATATGATCTGCGAACATTAATTCATTGTGCAATATGATCCCTGAATTTTTTATTTATTTAATATGATTCTTGCATATTTAAGTATAAGGATCATGTTGAAAAAATTGAAAATTTAGAAATCACATTATACATCGGACTAAAATATAGAAATTATATTAAATAAATTAAAATTTTATAAATTATTTATGTCATTTCTCTGATTAATAACGATTGCTTTTGGTCGGAAAAATTAATAATGACCGGAACGGTCCGCCAATTGAGACTTTTGGACTCCAGCTGGGCCTTGTTTGATTGAAGACGGGGTACCCGTGGGCCCCCCCCCCCCGGGACCATTTCGCCTTATCTTCAGGTCCCACATGGCGACGCGCCCTCCTTCAATCCAATCATCCAATCATCAGAAATTGGAATCTACGCGTACGATTAAATCATCGGACGTTTTTGATCAAATGAAAATTTATGAAGATTAATTTGTTTGTCTCTCTTTTAATCTATACGAAAGAATCTTTGCACAATTTACTAATTCGCGGGAATATACTGAACTTTTAGTATTCGAAAAATCATAAGTTACAACGGACATCCTGATCAAGCTGGTGATCAAAACCGAAAATCGTCATCGATATTACCAGGCACAATTCGTTTCTAAGTCCCATTTGGAGTTGAGGTTTAAACATATTATAGGCTAGGCTTTACTAATTTGGGGCCGAAATTATTTTTTTGTCGACTAGTTTTGTCAATTAATGACCAGAAATAAAATCTTACGATATTACCTATTTTAATAAATGGGATTGTTTAGTTAACTTTGATCTTACCTATGATCAATTTTTGCACATTCGGGATCATTTAGTTAACTTTGGATCGTGAGACCGTCAATTGCAAGATCTAAATCGGGATTTCAACAAACATAACTCTAATTGCGAAAGAATAAAATGGCGATTTAAAAGTGCCCATAAAAAAGGGTTAAAGTTCGTACTTCAAATCAACAGACACGTCCAGATTAGTATACATTATAAAAATTCCACAATAGTTATCATCCATAAATTTCCATTGCAGTATCTCTATTTAATATCCTTTTCATAAATAATTATTGTCTACACAAGTAATAGCCTCAGATTATTGTGCAATCTTTGTTTGGTTAGTTGCTTCGACATTTTTAACTCTAATCATTTTTTTTCATTACCCCATTTTCTAATCAAGATGTTCTCTCTTCATTTCCCAATTTTTTGACAAGACAAAACGAAAGAGAGCAAAAGAAGGGGGAAAGAGACAATGCAAGGGCAATTGCTTAGAATTGGGTTCCAATTATGAGCATTTTCCTCACATAATCAAGTTCATATACCTAAGCTTGTCATTTGTCAATCGTCTCGAGTCTTGACACAATGGTCAATGCCAAATAAAATAAAGTTCAGCCCCAAATGGACCGAGACAAGCAATTGGGTATCGTCCAAATAATTGTCCGCCAGACTTCTCCGCGTAATCAATCGGCATTATACAATTCGTCATGGCGCGAAATTAATGATACCGTTACCAACGAAGTCACTTTGATCAATCCCTGCCCGATTTCCCCCGAATCGCATCGACAGGACCGTCGAGACATCCCGTTAGGTTTCACTAAATCCTCGGCCTAACATTGCAATAAAAACCAAAATAAGAAGGCAACATCACAAAACGCTTAGCAAGAAGGGTAGGAGGAAGGGCTAAAGAGGTGCTTGAATTTTTATGACTAATTAGTGTATGATATTAAAACAGGTCTAGAACCTGACAGGTGGAGCCCATAGCAGCACAGCATGCACAATCATAATAATAAATAATGAAAGTGAATTATGCATAAATAATTATCCTCAAGAAGAACAATCACACGCCCCATGTCGGACATATGTATCATGGACCACACATTATGTGCCAAAACAAAAGGGTCGGGATCAACCATGTGATTTGGAACATATAAAAATCTCGACCTAGGACCAACCCACCAACCGTTCACGAAATTATTCGTGTAGGAGAATCCAATCATTGCGTAATTAATCGAAATAAACAATCGAGAACTCGTTCAACAGCGGGACATCCCCGGCAGCATTCCTTCCATGACGTGAGTATCTACTGTTGTCGCGATTTCTATTGGATAGTTATGATTTGATTTGGCCGTCGTTCATGAGGAACGTTAACAAACTAAATTAGTATACGGAAAAAAGGGTTAAAGAAGGAGTAAAGCACACATGGGTTTCTAAAAGAGCACAAATGTCCACCATTCCTTCTAAGTTTCTAGGGAGTGTCTAGGCTGATTCGACTGACAAATACTGCATTATTAGGGGACACAAGAGGGGACATGGATGTGTGGTTTTGGAGCTAAACATTTGACGACCACCGGAGAGGTGGGGGATGATGACAGACAGCCAAGATCCAGTGGAGCACACAACATCAATCACAACCCATGTCGGGACAAATGAATGGAGACAAAACTCCATTGCAACGATGACGATGTAAGCTTGGCTGGGATCGGTCGAGCTGAAAATCTTTCGTCAAAATCTGAAATGCTTGGCGGTGGTGGGTTGAAGGGTTCTTTCTTCCTTCCTTCCTTCCTTCTTTTGTGGGCCTAGCCAACTTTTGTTTGTGAATCATGAGGTAAAAAGTAAAGGCAACATGCAGAAAGGTCCAACAGTGGTTGACCCGACGACCCGGCGAAAGCTTTTTGGATAAGGTTTTCTTGACTTATTGCCTACAAATTGTCCCCACTCCCAAATAACAAAGCAATTCCACAAATCAAATGACAAGGGGGGGTAGTTCACATGGTTCCAAACTTTACATTAAGAAAGGAAGATGGGGAGGAAACTGGGGGGTGGTATACGTTAAATGTATGAGATGTCTTTTTCACGAGTGGGAGTGAGAGATGATCTTATCTACAGGGCACGAACAAGATGGGTGGGGACAAAGGAAAAGGATGCAGGAAGCATATTCTATTCCATGTCTAGGGGGGCTCTTCCGGGAATGGTGCGGTGCACCGGCTTCTTGTGAATATCCCCAACGGTCTCTTTCAAGATTGGTTTCTGGATGGCAAGGAGGTTTTTGGTGAAGCAGGAGCCAAGCATTTGGCGAGCATTCGATGTCGGTCGTGAATTGGAGTCTTATCATACCAATCCTGTGACCAAACCCAATTTGCGAATTCACAGGCGCGGACAGCTGTTGCTTTGTTTTCTTCTTCTGATTGCATTTTGGTTATTTAAAATACAAGTACCTTTGAGGAGGATATCGGCAGCTATGTGTACAGAAAACCTATTGGTTCTGTGGATTACTAAGCAAGATATCTCTAGGGAATATTACCCAATTAGTCATAAACTTATTATATGTATGCCAATTCAGTCCTAAACTTTTCAATTTTATCAATTGAGGCCTAAACCTGTGGAAAATTCTAATATAGTCTTTTCGGCCAATCTTCATTGGAAACTACTGGCGTGGCGGTGTGCCATATAGGACGGTCGGCAATGACTAGATTGTCACGTTAGCGATCTCTGGCAAAATTTTACTAGAAAAATTACATTAGAATTTCGCAGAAAGATTTATGACTAAATTGAAAAAATTAAAAATTTAAGACTAAATTGACTTCCGTACAATAAATTTAAGACTAATTGGACAATTTCCCCGATATATATATATATGTCATTTGAAGCTGGAGATACTTGCTGGAGAGAGTCATGTCACTAGTGATGATGACAAATGAACCGAGCTGCCCGTTGGCCCAACCCGACTGATTTAGGCCGTGTCATGGGCCGCCGGCATGGCGCGGATTGGCACCCCTAAGTGAGCTGTGGCCTCTATTGCAAAGAAAATTAACCATGTTCCAATATTTCAAATTAAAAGAAAACAAAGAACGAAAGAGACGTAGAAACATGGGCCTGCGGCCCAAAACAGTGGCTACAATAACCATAACCAAAGGAATTGAAGATCATAGTTTGGTATGCAAGAATGGGATCGTTACTTTTCGGTAATACTCGACAGTCTACAACAGCTCTAAGAAACCTTTGAGGGAGTGGATCCAAGATAACATCACCAGCAACGGTTGATTTAATCATCTACAAGATCCCTAGGAATGTACTCAGAAAGTTAAATATATACAATTATACTACTCACTCAAAAGACATGCTGTGAATTAAAGTAAAATTGTTCTTTAAAACACGAAATTGAAAGAACAACTTAAGATAGCTCACTCAAAAGAAAAAGCCCACAACAATACGCCTCCACAGATCCTCTAAGAGAAAACAAAGTTCCTGATCTGCTTGCTTGCTTGCGCATCATTTCCATGAAACAACATGATGAGGATGACTGGCGGCAGCCTTCACCTTCCCCGCAGCACGCGCTGCATCATGGATAAACAAACTGTATTAGGGATTGTCATCTACGTGCGGTTCTGTCCAGATGTATGCTGTCAAAGATCCTTCTCATGGAAGATCAAGAACTAAGTACATAATTTAAACATCGACACTCTTAGCCCATAAAAAGTACACACCAATTACCACACCAGTCATGTATCTGACAAGGTCAACTCTGATATCTTGACCTTTCCTGATAACCTAGCAAAGCACTAAGTATATCATAGAGGATGAAACTTAAGTAAGCACATACTCGTCCTTTTGCGGCTTTATCGGCTTCCTGTGGTTGATTATTGGGCATTGAATCTGTATCTGGCAGCAGACTATCAAGCTTATGGAATGACTGTAGGGCTCTTGCAACGAAGGGACGAACTATGTTCACCTCCATAGCCGATAAGGATTTTATCTGTCAAATCACAAAGCTTTTGAGAATACAAATCCTCAGGTTGAGATATGCTCATTGAGCCACATGTAGAAAACAGCTTATTGTCAAGAATCCCTGCAAACATTAAATTCTAGCACCCCATGGGAATCTTATATACCTTAATAATTCTTGAAATTTATAAAAGGAACCGCTCCAGCTTGCCAGCTGTTAAGTAACTTAATTGTAACCATCAGAGTTTGAGCTATTCTATGCTGCTTATGTGTTCTGTTCTGAATATGACCAGCTGCAGAGATGCATGACAAACATACTGAGGCCAACACAAATCATTTGTGCTGGTTTGACTTTATAACATCATAACAGATCTCCCAGCAAAAGGTTTGGTTCGATTTTGAAAGGCCATAGAAGTTTTGACAAGCTCGAAAACTCATTTTCCGTGTATCCAGAAAATAGTCAAATTATCTTGCAGTTAATTACCTACTCACCCTGACCATGCATGTTACAGTCTGCTAGAAGTGAATCTGAATTATACTGTGTACTCCACATAAAGATGAACACGGCCAATTAATACGATCATGCTTCCCCAGAAGCTGAGTCTGCTAGTTGCATCTTGACCAAGGGTCATGAACGCAATGATGAAATTAATGGTGAATGTGTGGAGACGACCAGAGCACCATAGTTGTAATCAGCAGTGAAAATAGATAAGATTTTTTGCCAGCAAACAAATGAATAGATTTACTAGGATAAAAAGCATACTTGTACTGCCGATGTTCGACCATCAAATGTCTCCAGGCTGCTTTGCACTTTATGAAATCTTACATCCCTTATATCCTCGATGAGAGACCTCACCTATGGCAGACAACATGACTTAAGATTGCTCCAGTATTCCATACACGTAATTACGAAAGGTAGGGAAAGAAGACAACAAAATGAAAAACTTTCTAACCCACCATATAAATGTCAGGAATGTCATCCCGTGCACTGTTGATCACATGAGAAGTAAGAATTGGTACTACACATCAACTGATATACACATTCAAAAACCAACTTCATATACTTACTGGTCAAAAAGAAGTCTTGAAATTTCCACATAATGGAATGGTAAAGACTGAAATTCTCTTTCAGAATCTCGTTCAGCTTCCAGAACACGGGTCAGTTTTTCTAGAAAAGAGAAAATTCATGTAAAAACGATACGGTTACATTGGATGCTAAAAGATTAAAAGTTACACAAATATCAGTGGTCTGTCATGCCAAATGCATCTGCTAACATCCAAAACAAAAATAATAGTTTGATTGGTCCTCATCCTAGAAGCTCAATCTGAACCCCCCCCCCCCCCCAAAAAAAAAAAAAAAACTAGTAGCTCAACAATCCTTTTCAACTTCAAAAATCCATTTACATCCAAGAGTCACCGTCCATATACAACATGGAGATTTTAAGCTTATGTCAGTCTACCGTTGAATAACTCCTAAAGTTACACAGAGCATGGATCGCAATACGATAGCAATAGCCCTTCTGATTGTATAGTAAAATAAAATGATATGATTTGGTCCTATTTGGATTATTTCCACATGAATATGATTGAAGCATATCTAAAAAGACCACATTGCATGTCAACTTGTTCTTAAAGTATACGCATAGAACTGAGGTTTCAGAAATACATCGCGTGAAAGTGAATCAAATATTCATGCATGAACATAGAACACCAACTCAAGTATTCCAGAACTCTAGTGTGCCATAAAATGGAAGAAGAGTTTCAGATCGTTGATAATTTAGAATACACAGTATTTTGGTATCTCTGCTAACACAGAATTCACATTAACAAGCTTGTCCTCTTGTGGCATTCGGAATCCCAAGGTTTCTCATATATGTTAACCAACTTTTTATTTGTTGAGATAACCAAACACTGTATCATTGTCAAGAAAGAGAGAGGTTCCAATAATCTGGAACACTGTGAGGTAAATACGGTGAAGTTGGACCTAGTAACATCATCATGCTTCTGAAGGACAATATGACTCCTCTAAATAAAAGAAATTACATCAGCTAAAACTAATTCTTAAGCATTCAAACTCCACAAAAACAAATTGATTTTACTGGACAGTTTTTGCATGTCATATACGTAACAATTTCGTCCCTATTAACGGGAAAAGATCTTGAGATCCTCTAATGTTTGTGTAACTTTTCAATAACAACCATGGATTAGGAACAAGAAAACTATAAGGGAAACAGAATGATGCAGATTCCAGCAATCACGATGCTGAGAAATCTCTGTTCAGAATGAATCCATCTGTTTGTGGAAGCACTACTCGATATCCAACGTGTACAACACTAGCAAAGAACTCTCAACGGAGATGAACCGACCCGTGTGCAGTTGAAAATTTTTTGTGCACATAACGAGGTCCTCCATTAAAACGCTGTTGTCCACTATGCTAACGGACATAGAACTAGCTTCCTTCATTCAGAAGGTGACATCAATCGGTCATCTGATCGGATGTCAACACTAATCAATTCTAAAAATCTACTAAATTCCAAGATGCATCTCTTAAATGTATGAGAGCCCAAATAAACTAACCAATAAACTACAAGAAGCGCATATTCGTTCATGATTACCACATGCACCCGATGAAAAACTCGAGCAACTTAACAAAACCTTCTCAGCCGAAACGATGGCCAAGCTGAGAAAACAATCATCATGTTCTTCAATTGAAGGGGCCATTTTACATATCCCCGTGCTCCTACTCCAATGTCGAAGACACGAGCCGTTGTTCGAAACAAACCACTTGCACGCCTACGACCTAGCCGAACTAATATGCAGATTCCCAACCGCCTAGACATATGCACCCAAAGAAGCCGAGGGAAAACGGAGAACCTACCCACGGACATCCATTCCGGAGGCCGGATCGTGCACTTGCCTCTCTTCTTCAAAGCCACGGCGAGCCAGAGAGGCACTCGAGCGGCTATTTGCGGGAGAAACGGACCGAAATCACCCTATATCAGCGAAGACGCAGCTCAGCAAAGACTACTCCGAAATCAAAACAGGGGAAAAACAAAAAACACTCGCACCACCTCAAGCATCCGAAGCAGAGGAAGGAAGGAAGGAGCTTGAAACGGGACTCACGCAGATCAAATTGAGAGGATCCATCCGCATGTTGGGCACGATCTCGATCAGCTCATCCTCCGCGACGAACTCGATCTGCGACGGCGGCGCACCAACAGAAAAAAACCGGCGTCAGTTAACCTGGAAAAGCAGCAGAACAACGCGCGCGCGCGCGCAAGCAAGCGCACGAACAGGCGTTTAGGCAGGGGGGCGCGATCCGGAGATTCGGGCGACGGGGGAAACGAAGGACCTCTTGGGCGGTGAAGAGGGAGTAGTCGGGCTCGGGCTGGACCGCCATTGGAGGGTGGCGGATCTTTAGGGTTTCTGGCGGCGCGAATCGGGCTGAAGAAGGTGAGTGTGAGTATCCGCCGCCGTCGCGACGAGAGCCTGCTGCGGTCGGCCGATGGAATTGGCGCGAAGCTGTTAGGGCGGCGGCGGGAAAACGATCTTGTCAAATCTGAAAATGAAAAATTGACTCCGCGCATGTTTGTGAAGCTGAATTTCTCTTTTTTTTTTTATAATGACACGAATCATCCCGAATTTTTGTTTAATGTGTAACGTGATCCATGAATATTTAATTTATTTAATATGATCCATAAACTTTAACCTAATGTATAATATGGTCTTTGAATTTTTAATTTATTCAATATGATTCCTAGACGTTTGGTACATGTTCAACTTAATCCTTGAATTATATAAAAATAGTCAATATTATCCTTCCAAAAATCAAAAGTCCACGTGATATCATACTAAAGTTCAGAGATCATTTATGTTATTTTCTTTTGTTTTTTAATTTACTCCTCGGTTTAATGCTTTGTTTGGGAAGAAAGGGAATGAGAGGAAAGCGAGTGATGGGTACCAAACAACATAATAAATTTCAAAATTTTAGTGAGTAATTTCCTCTTGCCTTCTAAACTTAATATGATTTTTTTTTCTAGTCAAGTTGTTTACACGAAAAAAAAAATGGTCGACTCTCTGTGATGGACAGACGATTGAGTTTAATCGATTGGGAGACATCGATAGGTGAAAATGATTCAAGTTATAGAGGAAATCGACAATTGTATGGTGTGGTCATTGATGGCTATGTACTATGGTTATCGACGATGATAGGATATCGATATTGACTAGCAGTCGAGAGATGCGCACTGAGTATCGTGACTCATCAGCAGAGCACTCGAGATTAACTGTCTTAAAAATTTACCAGGTGTTACAGATTAAAGAGAATAACACATAAATCACGGTGTCGAATGGAGGTGCCAAAATACCGAGTGACGGTTGAGCATACCAGGGGCTTTGGAAGTTGTAATTACTTGTGGATAATGATTGTCAAAGTACGAATAGCACGCCAAGAATTTCAGAGGGTGTGCATTTGTAACTGCGTTCAAATATGGTGACTGCTTGCTATAATTGTGGTTAATGGTCTATAACTACCCACCATTTTCATTATAATTGTACGATTAAGGAAAATATTCAGCGGTATCAAAACGCCACGTCAATCGTGGACGTGCGCGCATTTATCCAGTTGAGCCACTTATGGTTCGACAAGTGGCAAAGTATTGTAATTATAAATACAAAAGAACCTTGTAAAAGCTAGAGTTGAGAATCATAAATGCACAACAGTTTTATTACAAATTTTGAAATGGCCGCCTAACTCTTCTCTCTCCTCTTTGAACCCACTTTTTCTAATCTAACAAAAAGAAAACGACCAAAAATCACTCCTTCTCGAACGCTCCTTCCCCCAATTGCACCTTCATCTTCTCGCTCTCGCCTCTCCATTCCTCTGCTCAACGCCTCATGCTTGCCAAAACCCAGACCCGACTCATCCAAAACCCCCAGGTCTCGCTACTCGCCCCTGAAGGACCCGTTGTCCACCTAGAGCAACCGCCTTCCTAAGGAGACGATACTCCTCGATGGCTGCCACTATGAGTATTGGCTCATTGTCACGGAGTTCCCCATCGACCTCAAGCCCTTCGATCAAAGATGATCAACACTTACGTCAAAACCCTAGTCCCCCGTTGTCGCAAGGTACAGAGTAGAAGAAGAACCGACTCCATCGTGGGTAGTTAGTGGTCTCTTGCTCTTTGAAATCATGGATAATGAGGTCTCAACTTAATTTTTTTCTTCTGGTGGCTTGGGTTCCATTAATTGATATTTTAATTTACCGTTTTACGGTTTTTGTCTAATAAGTTAAGATATGAATACTGTTAATTAGTCCAATATGATAATGTCCTCGGGTGGTCCGATTTCTGGGTGGTCATTGCCAACTATCCTACGTGGCACTATCGGTGTCTACTTCAGTAATTTGCGATTAAAATTGGCTAAATGGACTCGATTGGTACAAATGTAAAAGATTTAAGACTAAATTGGCATCAATATAATAGATTTAGGACCCTTTTTTTTTTGTGACACTTTTCCCCTTTTACTTATGTAAGCAGCGAGCGCTACAACAAGCAAAGTTGCTCCATTGCGAGATTCACCTCATTTGTCACTTAAGTTTTAATATTCGCCAATACTTTTATATTCTCATTTACTTATTTTATCGTTTTTGACATGGCTTAGCGCTCTTTATTATTAATTTTTTGTTTAGATACTCTACAAAGGTCCAAAGGAAACCATAAAAAAAACTTGAAGAGAAAGAAAAAAGAAATCAATGTTGAACTACCGTAAAGCTCCAGTTGCTATCTTTATTATTAGGCTGATCGATTGGCTTTTTTCTAAAAGAAAATTCAAAATTTTCCAACAATTTAATATAAAGATAATTATTCTAAGTTCTGAAAATTACATATAAAGTTACATTTCAATAAATGTGATTCGAAAATTTTTAGTTGTTTCGCATTAAATAAAAGGAAAATTCAGGAACCAAAAATTTTAAAAAAAGCAAGAAGCACTTAAAAATGTCTTACCAGATGTTAGGAAATATTGCATTTTCAGGCTCACATTTTTTCGTATCTATGTTGGTAAGAGTTTCTCTTGTTTATTCCCATATTGGCTAGGAAATTACAAATGATGAGTTTAATTTTCACAATAGTTCATATACGACTATGAAACATAATACAATGTAGTAAATTAGATTAAACAGCAGAAGATTACAATCTTCGAGTCCGATCATGCCAAATCAAACTTGACAACCACAGCGAAGCAAATAAATGTCAAAAAAGAGAAGATGGCACCAACTTAAATCACTTGAGCGAACAAACAAGAACGTTCCATTACAAACGAGAGCTCAACCTGCGCTCGATGTCTTCGTACTCACGTGCATTGCCGATCGACGGCAAGGACAACGTTCTTTCGAAAGCAGTCTTACCATCCACTGCGGTCCTCGAGGAATTAGATGGAACCCGAGAACCGTTCACGGTAGTTGTCGAACCAGAAGCACGAACATGATCACCGAAACCCTCGTTTTGCATATCGCTAGCTTCGCTTTGCACTAAGCCTTGCTCGTGATCAGATGAGCAAATCTCTTTGTGCTTCGCCTCCTCGTCCCCGACCTCACGCCGTGGCCTTGATGAGATTGAACTGGGCGAACCGGCCACTCTCGATCTCCCTGGACTCCGAGCCCCGCCGCACAAGAAAGCGGCGCAGAGAATGAGGACCGTCCAGGCCAGGATCGGAAGGGTAACAACAAGTGCAGCCAAATAGACCAACCACTCGTACCCGGGATGGCGCTTCGCGTGGAGAGACCATTCGACCGTCATCGCGATCCGGAGGGAAAATGTCGCCGCGCTGCTGATGACGAGGAGGTGGACGACTCGAGGATTCGGTACTGCGAGGAAAGCTCTGATCGGAGAACACCCCGACGGTGATGAGTTAGCTCTGAATGCTGGTTCTCGGGTCATCTTCAGATGCATTGATGGATGAAAACGTAAGAAGACTTCAACGTGAGAAAGAGCACTTGCCTCATGGTGATACTGAAAGATACGCGGGAGGAGCAGATAATGTTGTTGAAAAATTAAACTTTTGAAAATGAAAGAGTTTGAAAATTCCAAAAAATCTAATTGAAGAGGAGATTGTGGTTGATAGGTTTGTGCTAACTAGTGTTGAACCCGTGCCCCGGCTCGAAATGAATAATAACATAGATAATTATTTTAATCAAATTCTTCTGTAATTGAGAAGTTGCATTATAAATAAATTTTAAAAAACATCCAAAGAGAAAGACATAAAACAAGGAATTGGTACTTTATGTTTCTTGTTTGATTATTATATACTCTGCCTGATCCGTTACTTATTCTATGACACTGTCCTATGAATTTTCTATATTTTGAACGATTTTTTTTTAATATGTTAAACTTCTTAAAAAAAAGGAGTCCAAGACGTCGTTGCTTTAACCGATAACTTATATGTCACAAAGGTCTCGCTTGATAAGTTTGGAAGTACATTGATCACTTAAAAGACACCAGAATTCCAAGGCAAGATACCACATTTTTCTCACAAAAAGCACGAACTCTTTTGGTAAAAATACCCCTCCAAGCTCCTCCAGAGTAGAAAAGGTTTTGTTTCGGGTCATCAAAGCAAGTCGCTCTTGATTGATTTTAAAATCATCACTTGGGATGGACGCTTATGATACTCCTGGTAAAAGGAAGAATTTATTTTAAGATATTCTCATCGCATCTTGTAATTATGTCAAACCATAGAAGTGGTACGTACATACACGGGAAGAGCCAGCATAACATAATCCATTGATAATCGGAGAATTCAAGTTACAATCACTCACTCACATCCTCGAGTATTTTCTACAACTAAATTAAACCCAAACCTCAATTGTTTGCAATTAAACAACTCATTTGGATAAAAGAAACTCATAGCACAAATCCACGTGTGTCCTTAGCTCTTACCCATGGCCAACAGGAAGCTATTGTGCGGCTTCAACTCTCACGAAACCCACACTTCCTTCATTGTGCGACCATATTCTTCAAGACACGAAAAAAAAGAAGGGTTAATATCACGAAAAATCTTAAACTGGTATACATGTGATAAATTTACCCTAAATTAAATTAAATTAATAAAAAAAATCACAAAACTAGTATACAATGGACAAATGAAAGGTAAAATCCTAAATCGGTATATTCGTCAACTGTCATGTGTCATTTAACTAAGTAATTTGATAATAAAATTTAACAGATATTAACGGAAGGTAAATTTATTACAGATATATCAATTTAAGGTTTTTCGCGATAATAATCCGAAAAAAAACCAGTCTCCTCCATTTTATTTTTTTTGTGCGGCTGGACTTAAGGAAAAGGAGGACAACCTAGTCTAGAGTCCTAGAGGAACCCTATCTATTTTTTTTTTTTTTGTTTTCTTTGCTCTGAGCAACTCCATGTGCCCCACTTTTCCTTCTCTTGCACCACCACACAAGATGAAGAAAGGAGTGCTTGCCTTTTGTTCCTTTCTTCTGCTTTTTGACCCCACAAGCGTAACAAATATAATAAACAAAGTGAGCCAAATCTTTTATCTTTTAGTGCAAGAGTTCGGACTCCGTAAAATGGTTCAAATCAACAATGACTCATGCAATGACGATGCTTGAATGATAAGAGAGGTTGAATCCGAACAAAAAAAAAAAAGAAGTGAAAGAAGAAGAAGAAGAGAGGTTAAAAATAAGGAATAAAGTGTGATAAAGAATAGAATGTGCATCACTAACAATAGCGAAAGCGCTCTGATTTTCATGCTTTAAATTTACATTCCACGAGCTTCTTGCCAACTCCTCATACTCCACACTAACCTCAGCTTGAGTCCTGCCACTTCTAACTCCTATATAACTACGCATTGCTCAGCACTCGTTTCCATAAAGCAAGGCGTCTAATCCTATCTGATCGTAAATAAATTTCAAGGTATTATCGACTCTCAGTCTCAATAGTCACCTTTTTGTTATTGTGTTCTCCGGCTTTGCATATTTATGCAATCATTGTTGCCTTTCTGTCATGCTCATGCTAACTAAATCATTTCCTTCCAGGATCTGGTGAGAAAGTGAGGATCAAGTGGGACATACAAAAATTCTTGCAGAAGTCCAGAAGTTATGGATGAAACTCAATCTCCGAGGGGCGATCCTTACGAGCCTATCTCTGCAAGTCTTTCTCCTATTTTTTGCACCCATTCGAAAGAGGCGGTCAAACTGGTGGATCTCGACTCTCTTGTGGTCGGCTTACTTAGTTGCCGACTGGGTCGCTGTCTATGCCTTTGGACTCATTTCCAAAGCCCAAATCAATGGGGGTACTTCAGACTCCCAGGTTGATGTATCTGGTGACCTTTTGGCTTTTGGGGCTCCATTTCTTCTGCTACACCTCGGAGGACCAGACACCATAACTGCAATCGCCCTCGAGGATAATGAGCTGTGGGGTAGGCACATGCTTAGTCTCTTATTACATCTAGTCATTGCTTGCTTGGTGATTTACCGATCCCACCCCAGTAACAAGCTAATTGTCCCAACCATCCTCATGTTTATTGGAGCAAGCAATAAATATATAGGGCGAACACGTGCTCTGTATCTTGCAAGCTTCCGTATATTACGTGGTTCCTTGCTCCCATCTGCTGATCCCGGGCCGAACTATGCCAAAATCATGGAAGATTACATTGCTCGGGAAGCTAATATCCAACCTCTAAAAGCCCCGTTGCCGACGGCCCAACATCACTCCCCTCATGTAAGAGCGGAAGGTGAAAAAATTTTGGACGAAAGAACAGTGATAAAAGAGGCGTTTTTTCACTTCAGAATGTTCCAAGGCCCCCTTGTGGATCTCATCTTCAGCTTCCATGTACGCGACGATAGCATGCAATTTTGCAGGAGCAGAACTGCAAAGGATGCTTTTCGGGTCATTGAGGCTGAGCTCAACTTCTTTTATGATCTTCTTTATACCAAGGCTGCCATTGTTCACTGTCCATCAGGGTACATTTTCCGAGCTATCACATTTGGCTCCACTGTTGCTGCTTTTGCAAGTTTCTATGTCCTGAACAAGCATGGTTTTCACGAATATGATGTACGGATTACATATATCTTGCTCCTTGAAGCTATTGGCCAGGAGTGTGGAAAATATGGTATGATCATTTGCTCTGACTGGACAATTGCAAAAATCGGGACATCTGAGAAACATCGTAGAAGTTCGTTTCACGGAAGCATCTTCATCGAGTTCCTCCTCAAATTCAAATCTGAAAGTTCACCATTTGCATTGCATATACTAAGTGATAGATGGTCTAAATCTGTCTTCCAGTACAATTTGATAGAATCTCGGCTGAGAAGGTGGCCAAAATGGATTGAGAAACTGACAGACGCTCGCTTGAGAAAGTGGCCAAAAGGGATTGAGGAACTCCTAAGTCTCATCCATCTGGGAGAATTGTTTGATGACTTGAAGTCTGGACGAGTAAAAAAATACAGTGAAAAATTAGGTGAACTGATTTTTGATGAACTGAAACGGAAGGCATCATTTGCAGATGATTTGGAAAGCATAAAAGAGGTACGTGCTGCTCGAGGTAAATGGGCTCTGAAGAATACTAAAACAAGGCGAGATTGCAAAGACTTGCTTCCAGCTGTTTGTGATGTCGATTATGGTGAGAGCCTTTTACTGTGGCACATTACCACCGAAATCTATTACAACACTGACACTGATGAAAGTACAAACCAACACCGTGAAACCAGTAAGTTCTTGTCAGATTACATGCTTTATCTTATGATCAAACAACCTGGCATGATGTCTGCAGTGGCTGGAATTGGCCAAATAAGGCTCCAAGACACTTGTGCTGAGACGGACAGGTTCTTCAATGAGAAATTCTTTGATGAGAGAAGAACGAACATAACCAACAAATATGCCTGCCAAAGTCTCCTTTCAGTTCCTACAGAAGTGAAGCCTGCTGATGTGAAAGGAGAGAAGCAAATCCGTGCTTTTTGATGCATGTATTCTCGAAAAAGAATTGGGGAAATTTGGGAGACCAATGGGATATCGTGAGTGAAGTATGGGTGGAATTGCTGGCGTACGCTGCGATTCATTGCCGACCGTACGTGCATGTTCAACAACTTAGTAAAGGAGGAGAACTTGTCACCTTGGTTTGGTTATTGATGGTACATCTTGGCTTGAGCGAACAGTTCCAAAAAGAAGGGGGTACAACTCATACATCGGTGGCCTGATGGACAGTCCGAGTCGGCAAAAGATGAGGCTCCTACGTGCAAAGTCCATTCAGAATTTCATGGTAGGAATCTCACTTTGTTTACACCTTTGTTTTGTTTCTTTATGTGATTGAAGTGCTTATTTGCTCTTACTGCACATTGTTAAGCGTCCTTCCCTGTGAACTCTGGCTGTTCAATAGCTCTAATATCCTGGGATTCTGTGCACTTTGTTGAATCAAACGAGGGAAGCTCGCACAAATTGCATCCAATTACAGTGGTTTGATACTAGTATCGCAAGTTCAATGTTGTCACTTTAATAGAAAGTAATGTTTTTAAGTATGAATTAGAAAATATCGGTTGCTTCGTTTAGTACATATTCTTCATATGAATGACCATACCAATATAAATGCTGCAATGATCATGGCTGTTTAACAGTGTTCTTGTTAAAATGCGGAAAAGGTATACCAAAACTAAGCCAAACCAATTGATTTATTCTTTTTACTCCCCCAACCAAAACCAAACTGATGAAACTTGGTTTGATTTCGTCCGGATTGTTTTCCTTGAATACCCCAAAGGAAATGTGTTTCTTCTTGTACGGCTAAGTTGAATTTACTTGCAAGGGCAAAGTGTTGCGAAAAACACATGATCGAACAATAAAATAAACGAAAAAAGAAAATAAATTGGATATCAAATTTGCGTTGTTAAGTTGATGTAACTTACTCCATGGAGAGAGCAGCATAAGATTCCACCATAAATCAAACGATATTATAACTATACTCAAGTCAACTCAAACACTCAGTATTTCATGAAAATTACCCAAAAAGTCACAAACTTATTGCACATTTACCAATTCAATCCTAAACCTTTCAATTGTGCTAATTGAATCTTAAACATTTTCACGTTGTGCCAATTGAGGCAATCTGGCCAATTTTGACTAGAAATCGCTAACGTGAACGATGACCAGCGCTAACGTGGACATTTTTAATAAATTTTTTTATTTTTAAATAATTTTTCTGATTTTTCTTTTCTATTTTTCCTTTCTTTTTTTTTTCCCTACTCTTTTTGCCGGTGGCTGACGAATGGCCACCGGCCACGGGCGGTGGCCGACGAGGGTCGACCTTGCCGGGCATCACCGTGGCCCAAGCAACACTGGGCGAGGGGGGCAAGAGTTGCCCACGCCACCACAAGCAAGGGTCAGGCTCGTTGGGTCTAGCCCGACTTCCCTGGGCCAAGGCTACACCTAGCGAGGCCGCCATGGCCTAGGTGAGGGTCGGCCTTGCCAGATGATCTGGCAAGGCAACCATGGGCAAAAAGGAAAGGGGAAAAAATAAGAAAAATTATTTTAAAAATGTCCATGTCAGCGCTGGCCGTGCCACGTAGGATGACCGACGTCCACGTCAATATTCTCCTGCCAAAATTGGCTAGATGGACTCAATCGACAAAAAGTAAAAATGTTTATGACTCAATTAGTATAATTAAAAGGTTTAGGACTGATGGTAAAAATGCAATAGGTTTAGAACTTCTTAGGTAATATTCCCCAGTATTTCCCAACCTCCAATTTTACCCTATAACTTGCACAATATATAGTCATCACAATTACTAGCTAAATAATCTCACAAAATCTTATCCACAATATTTAATTGGCTTCAATGCCCTTGGATTGCTTCAGGGTTTAATCACGAATAAGCCGTATCTTCAGTGCCCAACTATTGCACATGCAAGGTACACCACTATATGACCAAAAAACAAAAAGGTACACCACTATGTACCAACGGCATGAAGACCAAAACCCAAGCTTGAATATTAATATATATTTCCAACTAGATTAGAAACCTTGTGGATCGAATGAGGAAAGTGATTTCTCAGGAAAATTAGTCTCGGACTCTTTGGCTAGATAAAATATCATGTCCTGTGTTTGGAGTTTGTCCAAGATAGAATAAAATCAGATATAAGAATAATATAACTTGGATAAAATTATCTAATGGAGAAGGTGGGGTAAAAGTATATGTGATTTCTAATTTCTATACTATAAAAGTTATTTTTCTTGAATAAAAAATTTATTAAATTAATAAAATTAACGTAATAGTTGAATCAAAATAATATTTGAACTATAATATAAAAAATTCAAAATAACAACAATTTTGTATTTATTTATTCCTATTTGTATTTATATATTTAAATTTATTTCTATCTTCTAATATAAATTCAATATATACATATATATAATATTTATATTTATTACATATTTTTGGTATTTTAAGGATAAACCAAAAGGCTCATCTGTCCAAGGACGGAGACACTCCCAATCGTCATACCTTGCATGTCATTTTTATTTAATCTAAGTTTTTTATCTAGGAGTCGCCACTAGCCATTATTGATGGGTCGATTAAGAACCCAATCGAGATATGGGAGATTTATCTCGATCCATGTAACCAGAGTTTTCTAGGTTCAAGACTTGCTTACGTTAATATTGCTATTAATGCCTTTTCGATAATGCTAACTAGTTGGTTGTTTTATAACATGGTCAATCTTGATTTACCATTTTGATCCTAAAAGTCGCAATGTCATATCTAATGATCATGCGACATGTTTTTGTGATTTTCCATTTAATTTCTAAACTAATCCTAATCTAGTCTAGAAAAGAAAAGAAATTAACAAGTGATGTATTGAAAAGCGATGGGTGAAGTAAAACAACCAATGTATCAAAAGTTCAGGGATAACATTACACATCAAACCAAAATTCAGTGATCATGCCAAATGCAGAAGATTATAATCTTCGAGTCCAATCATGCCAAATCAAACTTGACAACCACAGCGAAGCAAATAAATGTAAAAAAAGAGAAGATGGCACCAACTTAAATCACTTGAGCGAACAAACAAGAACGTTCCATTACAAACGAGAGCTCAACCTTCGCTCGATGTCTTCGTACTCGAGTGCATTGCCGATCGACGGCAAAGACAACGTTCTTTCGAAAGCAATCTTACCATCCAGCGCAGTCCTCGAGGAATTAGAAGGAATCCGAGAATCGTTCGTGGTAGTCGTCAAACCGTGAGCATGAGCATGATCACCAAAACCCTCGTTTTGCATATGGCTTGCTTCACTTTGCACTAGCCCTTGCTCGTGATCAGATGAGCAAATCTCTTCGTGCTTCGCCTCCTCATCTCTGACCTCGCTCCGTTGCCTTGATGAGATTGAACAGGGCGAACCGGTCACTCTCGATCTCCCTGGACTCCGAGCCCTGCCGCACAAGAAAGCGGTGGAGAGAATGAGGACCGTCCAGGCCAGGATCGGAAGGGTAACCACAAGTGCAGCCAAATAGACCAACCACTCGTACCCAGGTTGGCGCTTCGCGTGTAGAGACCATTCGACCGTCATCGCGATCCCGAGGGAAAATGTCGCCGCACTGCTGACAAGGAGGAGGTGGACGACCTGAGGATTCGGTACTGCGAGGAAAGCTTTGATCGGAGAACAACTCGAGGGTGATGATTCAGCTCTGAATGCTGGTTCACGGGTCATCTTCAGATGCGTTGTTGGATGAAAACGTAAGAAGACTTCAACGTGAGAAAGAGCAGTTGCCTCATGGTGATACTGAAAGATACGCGGGAGGAGCAGATAATGTTGTTGAAAATTAAACTTTTGAAAATGGAAGAGTTTGAAAATTCCAAAAAAGCTAATTTAAAAGGAGATTGTGGTTGATAGGTTTGTGCTAACTAGTGTTGAACCCGTGCCCCGGCTCGAAAAGAATAATAACATAGATAATTATTTTAATCAAATTCTTCTGTAATTGAGAAGTTGCATTATAAATAAATTTTAATAAACATCTAAAGAGAAAGACATAAAACAAGGAATTGGTACTTTATTTTTCTTGTTTGAATATTATATAGGAAAATGCTGAGTCCGTAGAATGACGGAATGACGGTCAGACCTCAGCCACAAGATTTTGTGGAGGAAACCGGTAAACTTGGTCAACCGGTTTCAAATCTTGACCCAACTTTCTTTTTTTCTTTTTTTTTGAGATTTCTATAATTCTTCATTGTAAGCTTAAATTGAGATACAAAATCATAATAACCAAATTGAAACGGTTGACATATGAAGAAACAAATTAAAGTGATAATATTCAAATAATAAGAAACAAATCGAAGTGATAAGAATCAAGCAGCGAGGGCTTACACGACCCTCGCCGCCGCCGCCCCACCATCGCCCGCAATGGCCGGCCCTTGCGGGCGATGGTTGGGTGGCAGCGGCTCTCAACAATTTTATCTTCTTCTTCTTCTTTTTATTATTATTATTATTTTTATTTTTTATTTTTAAATTTAGCTTTTTTTTAAATTTAATTTAAATAAAATTTGTATTAAAAATCAAATTCGAATCAAAACAACATCATTTTAGCCACGTCATCGGCATGTATGAGAGAGGAAATATTTAAAAAAAGTCACGTCAGTATTTTTCGTTAATTAAGTTGGATGGATTTAATGGAATGACTCGATTGCACCGATTTGACAAGTTTTAGGACTCGATTGCAATTTTTGTATGTTTTAGAACTTAATTGCACTTTCATAACAGTTTTAGAACTTTTAATGCACATATCATTTTTTTAAAAAATTTCAAGGCAACATAGGATGCCACATCAACACCCCTTCACCATTTAATGGTGACTAATCGACCACTTCGGAATTTTCATATACTTTTTTAATGTGATGATCAATTTGAGAAAAAAACATATTACTTCAAAACTGCATCGACAAAAAAAGTTCCATTAACGAAGTTGAACAAATTAATAAAAA